CTGACGAAAGAAATAGTGTATTATATAGATTCATTGGATGGCGATACAACAAAATATGAAAATCTGAGGAACTTTGTTGATACGTAAGTGATGAGATATACTGTTGTCTTTAATTATATATCTTTATTTATTATGTGACATTATTCTAAATATGCGTTTATATTATGTTAGAGTTATACAAATATTCAGAGCACAAAGAGATGCAACGGTGCCAAAAAGCAAGGCTAACAACATCAACTGGATCGGAGTGGAGGTATATTTTCGCATGTTTGACTGTTATAGTAGTTCTACTTGATAAAACTATTTAAACTATATATCCTGATAAATGTTCGTTTGTTTTTTCCATTTACAGTGTCCTCGGCAACGCAATGGTATTGACTATGGATATTTTGTATTGTGCTTTATGAGGGAAATTATTCTTTCTGGTCAACTTGAGATTCCAGTCATGGTATGGATCAATTCATTATATAAGTTATATGATTCATTTTGATAATTATCCGATACTTCATCTGAGTAATTAGTTTTAAAATTAAATCTTATTCGATCTGTTATATTGTGTAGTATTTTGATGAATTCAAGTGCGCTACTTACACGAAAGCAAAATTGGAAGAAATTAAAGAGGAATGGTGTCAATTTATTCTTGGGTTGAGAATTGTATAGAGTTATCGGATTGGAAGACTTTTAATTATATGTAAATTGAATGTATTTGTATTGTTGTAATTCTGAGGATCGAATTTTGTTGTAACATATTTAAACAGGTTTATGTGTATATTAAAATGTTTATGAACAAAGTGATGAGTTACAATGTATCCAAAGTTTTGAATTGTATATATAAGGCCAAAATTTGAATTGTATATTTAAGGCCAAAGTTTTGAACTGTATATATAAGGCCAAAGTGTTGAAATAAAGGTCTGAATTATAAGCAGGTTGTTGGTAAATATACAAAACAGGGTGAATATTTATTAAAAAAAATTTAAAATCTGGGACATTAGACAGCGCTTTTACAAAAAAGCGCTGCTAAAAGTCACAAACATTACGCTACAAAAGCGCTGCTATAGGTTTGGAAGGGGGGGGGTCTAAGACAGCGCTTATAAAAAGCGCTGCTAAAGGTGGGGTCTAAGACAGCGCTTTGTGAAAGCGCTGCTAAAGGTGGGGTCTAAGACAGCGCTTTGTGAAAGCGCTGCTAAAGGGGGGGATGGTCGGGGGAAATATGCAGCGCTTATAAAAGCGCTGCTAAAGGGCTAAAAAAGCGCTGCTAAAGGTGCTGCTGAAGGGAGCTTTTAGCAGCGCTTTTTCCATGAAAAAAAGCGTTGCCTTTACCTTTAGCAGCGCCACTTTTGGCAGCGCTTTAAAGCGCTGTTAAAGGCCAAAAAAAGCGCTGCTAAAGGTCTTTTTTGGCATAGTGATAGAGGCATAGCATAATGGACAAAAAAGTTTAAAAGAATATATGTCAGGTATCTCGTTATGTAGAACTTGGTAAGGTGAATAGTTTTAAAGCATATGTGTAGTCACCCTATTGATTATGTAAGTGGCTAATTGAAGGGCAAATGAATAATATTATTTAGGCAACTTTGACTGGTATAGAAGGGATTAAACAACATTCAACAAGTGTTGATGTTTCCTATCTACCCTCCCATTTTATGGGGGATTTTCAACATAAGATGTACTGTGAACTATGCCTTTGGAAGCATAAAATTGGTATAGAAAAAACCCAGGGCCATTGTATGACCTGACTATTTTAGGTGTTTTGTGGAAATGTTTTATAACCATGGTGATGAAGTTTTGAAACTATATAGAGGCCTCAGATTTTGTTTTCATGATAATGATTCACACAAATCTTGTATGATCATCGAGAATGGAAAAAATATCTATGATTTTGTATGGATGAAATAGCAAGAGGTCTCCAAATGTCAAAAACTAATAATTCAGAACTATGATAACAAATGGAATTATTTGTAGGATAAGGAAACTTTCTATGTTTGTCCATATGGAAAATATCACATGTGGGATTATTATCAAAATAAAAAGAAAAGTACATTTGTGATATTTATTTGATGAAGCTTGATTAGTGAATGACTTAATGAGACCTGATTATTGATAGACGATGGGACAAAGGAAGTCAAATTTGATTATTGAAGCAAGGTAATTAACTGGTCATACTAAGATTGAGAAAGTGGTACATGATTGCTTGGAGAAGAAGTGGCTTGAACCTCATCTAAAGCCTGAGATGAGTCATTTGCATCTACCAGAATAACATTGACAAAAGATTTATTTTTGTTGAAGTTGGGATGTCCATGCTTTTGATAGTAGAAATCAATAGTATGACCACTCCTATTGCAGAAGGGGCATACTCTAGCAAAGTTTTTGACATTATTATAGCCACATTTATGCTTGAAATCAGGTATATGTGCAGTATTAATCAAAATTGATTTATCCTCAATAAGTGCTAGATTCTTGTGGTTACTTTCTTCTTGAACTACAAGAAGTATATGCGATTAACTGATGGTAAAAGGTCCATGAGTAAGACCTAAGTTTTCACAACCGAGAAGGTATCATTCAGAATTGTAAGAAACTTAATGGCTTGATCTTCAAGTCGATATTCTTAAGCATTTTGAATTGCATCTATGGTAAGAGATGATCAACTTTAGAAAATACCCCTTTCAATTCAAGAAAATACTCCATGATCAATTTTGAATTTTGTTTGAGATTGTTAATAGAAGATATATGTGTAGCTATTATAACACGATCAACTTTTTAAAATATTTCTCGTAAATCATCCCAAACATCCATTATATTTTCATGAAAAACAAGGGTGAAAGAAATTTGGTCACTAATCAGATTGATTATCTAACCGTGAGTAAGATGATTGCATGTTTCCCATTAAGCAAAGTTGAGATCATTAGCAAAAAGGAATTTGAATTGATCCGTCAACAAATTTTAGCTTATTCTTCACTCCAAGAGCACACTTCATTGATTTATGCCAAGTAAGATAGTTTGAGCCATCAAGCTTGGGAGTAACATTAATTAAATTAGAACCTTCACTCATATGAACATAGTAAACAGAATCAAGATCAATTTAATGTGGTGCTACGCCATACATAGTCATATTTGAATCAATGAAAGAAAAGATGATAAGAAAAAAATTGATTATGAATGTAGGAAAAGAACTCTAAAAGAAACAAAACTAAATATACAAATAAAAAACAAAGAAAAGATGAACACAGTCAATAAAAAAGAAGGAATGAAAAGACGATGAAATTCATTAATTCTAGTGATTCCATATTAAAGGAATCAAAATGAACATGGTAATTATGTAATCTCATTAAATTGGAATTTGATACAAAAGATGTATATATACATATCATGTAACTTCTATGACAAGTTATTGTGTTATATCTACATATTATTATTCCTTAGATAAAAAGTAGTTTTTTAACAACTTGTATAACCTATTTTAAACTCAATTGAAATTATTGCTGCATTGCAATCCTTTAAATCCGAAATATCAACTAATAACATAATATAATAATATTAAATTGACGATTTCATTGGCTAAAAATTGTACAACATTGACTTCGATCATCATTCTCTCATGGTGGGCTACAGTTGTTTTAAGAAGTTAATGTGAAATCATGTTCATGTAAATTAAAGTGACTAAAATCTAAAAAGTGTTCCAACTTTCAACAACTAGTATAATATTTATTCTATAGTTTCCCTATGAAAGCAAAAATGGAAGGCAAGAAAAGCTAGAAACAAGGGGACATTGGCCATTCAAATATTGATTGAGTGCCTTGAATGTAAAGACATGGAATGAAAAGTTCCTCGATCGAACCAATATGAGGGAGGCAATGGCATTCTTGAATTTGGTTAATGTTTCACTTTATATACACCTTCTAATGAATCTAATGCAATTTTTTTGTACTTAAATAATTTCTATTTTGGACTACTCAAGTTTGGATTTCTCTACATTTCGAACTTCGATCATTAGACTTAATTTAATTGGGGAATAGATAGCTATGGTTTAAATTAAGAGTTGAAAAAATTAGATGAGTTAAGACTTGAAAGATCAAGGTTCATACAATGAGAAACTACTAATATACTAACACTAATTACTAATATACGTTTATATAAATATAAATTATGTAGCTCAACTTATTTAAAAAGTTAAATTTTTACATAGTCATAAGTTTTTGGTTGAATATTGATATTTTTAAAAAATAATTAATTTAAAATTTTAATTAATTTTAAATAAAATAATATTAAAAAGTAACATTAAAACATCTGAATTCAAAAAATCTAACTTGGAGATGGTTATATTCTAATTCTTCGCTGGTCTAGTAATGTTCTTTTTACTATTAATCTGTGTTTGTCTGTTGTATGGGTTAGAATACCCTCTTGTACTTTTATCTTTAATTCTATTGTCTATTAAAAAAGGGTCATAATAACCAGTGCCTTCAGGACACTAGTTAAGAATTTCAAATAAGAAAAATATGTTATATTTAATTCACTCAATACACACAATATTCTTTAAAAAGTCTAATTATTTCTCTTTTCAAAAATACTGTGTGTATTGAGTGTTACCAAATTAAAAGTTTTAAAACATCATTTTTACTACAATAACTCTAAGGTATTTTGGTGCAATAACTAATCTAAATTCTAGTATATATTTCCTTCTATATATCTCACTTCAAAATGTGTTGTGTTTTCTCTTTTTGGCTTCTCTTGGGACCCAATAAACAAACATGTCAGAGAAAAGGGACAAAACAAAAGAGATCACACCATATCTTCGTCTCCTCCCATAATTACTTCTTCCACCTCCCTACAACTCCATGTTCTTCAATTTAATCTCTTATTCTTCCTTAAGCTTTTGCATTTAATGCACATTCATTTCCTTTCTTACTACAAATACTTCTTCTTCTACTACCATCCTATCATCACTTCATATTTTCATTATCACACACAAGAGTTTCATTATTAGGTCAAGATTTCACATGGTTCAAATGTCATCAACTGCATACGTTTTTCTTTTGTTTCTTTGCTTTTCTTTTCATGCATGTAATGCCGGTAGCAGGAATCTGATCTCTCTTGATAACAAGATGGAGAAGAAACTTAACTTCTCTCTTAAGGTTTGTTCTCAAAACTTAACAATAAGCATAAGGGTTTTTCTTAATTACAGTTGCACCTATCAACCGTAGTAATATATTTTTTCACTGATAAGTTTTAATTAAACTTATGCAGATTGTTGAAAAAAATGGATTTGATTCCTCGCAGATGAAGGTTAACGAAGGCGATAACAAGATGAAGATTAATGAGTTTGTTGGCGATTCAGAGAAATCGAAAAACCGAAAAAGTACTAACCGGAGGATGTTGAAAGGTGTGAGAAAAGTTTCAGTTTCAGTTTCAGTTCATGGTTTACAAACAAAATCTCATGTTTCAACTTCATGGCGTGTGCCTCACAAGAAGAAGCATAGTGAGAAACATCCTGGTTTTAATTTGGATTATTCACCACCTAAGACACATCCTCCTTCTCACAACTAAGTAACAATGTTATGAACCCTAGCTAGTTATTACAAACTGATCAATATTGAAAAGAAATTGCATACACAATGACAATGCCTCTCATCTAGGGTTTGAAATAATGTTTAGTATATGACTAGAGAAAATGTTTGTGTTGTTATAATATATAACCAAACATATGGTTTCCAATGTTAACCTAGCTAGGTATAGTTCTTTTTTTCTTCTTCTTAAGTATATGTATTAATGAAAGAGTAATCATTTCTTCTATTGTGCCTTTCTCTTTGGTGAGAGCAATGATATTTAGTTACAATTCAAACTGTTCAATTAGTTTTATGTTAGTAGTTATGATAGTTACAAGTTGGTTTTAAGTTAGAGGTTAGTTATGTTTATGTAACTTTGGCTATTGAGTAGTTGCATCATAAGTAAACTAGTTTGAGAGTTGCTAAAACCTCTATAAATTCAAATTCAATGCTTGTAATCATGTATTCATTTTTCAACTACTAATTTCATAAACTCTTCCTTTTCAATTCTTCTTCCACTCTCTTGCTTTTGGTTTGAATCTAAAGTATTTCAGAACTTATACGATTTGAGTCTTGTACCTTTAATAAAAGAGAAAAATCTTGTAAGAAATCAGGTCGGAAGGATAAAATTGTTGGTCATATGACTTCACATATAAGAAGATGGTGAAGTAATTTAGATTTGAAAAATTTTGTTGATTAAAATCAGAGGTTGAAAATATTTTTAAAAAGACTCCACGGAAATAAATTGCGGAAGTTAAAATGTTTAAGGGAAGAGAGAAAAACTCAAGGAATTATACAAGTTTAGTCAAAAATGACTTAGTATTCTCCTTAAAATTTGATCTTGAGAGTATTTAATAAACTTAAGAGTTTTTAGTAAGTTAAACTTTCAAACCCCTTTATAAAAATGATATAGAAGTTTATGGCTAACTTCCAACCAAACACCAAACAAGAAGTGAAGTGGTGAGCTTCCTTCCAAACAATGGATTAAAGCGGTTAGTCTTCTTTCCGAATAGAAACTTGGAGTGGTTGGTCTTCAAGCTTCAAACCAAAATTTTACATAGGCTAATCTTGAAATTGAGAAAACTTTTAACATTGGGATTTGCTCGCAAACCGAAATTTGGTTTTATACCAAGCTAACCAAGAACCTATGAGATTTTAACACTAGGTTTATCTTGAAACTTACTAAACTTTTAACATATGACTTAGCTTGAACCTGATGAAGACTTTTACACGGACTGAACTTTCTAACCGAACCAGGTAAATTAACAACTAAATTCTCCAACAACTGAACTTTCTCTTGTTAGATTAATTATTTAATTAATCAAATATGGATTGACATAATTATATTATGGTCTATTATTATTAAACACTAAATAGATGAATTGTTTAATTGGGTTATGTGCCTGAATAGACTGTGATGGATTAACATATTCTGAAAACCCTAGACGATAATGAACGTAATAGTCTTCTCATACTCATTATTTCCGACGGTAATCTCACAAATCCTAAAAAGTACATTGTTCTTATTATTAATAATTATTCATTGATTAAATAATATGTAATAATTTATATCTATTGATCAAATTAAATCTAGCAATTGGTACTAGAGCCTCGATTTAGATATATATTATTGCTATTATAATTTTTTATATTTAAAAATCAGCAACAAGAGAAAAGCTTTTATGAGATATTTTTTTAATTCATCTGTACTGATTTTATTGAGATTCCAAAATCATGATTATATTTAAAATTAAAGGATGTTATTTTATTATGGTATGAGTTTGGTCAGAAATTTGGAATAGTTTCTTAATCATCTATAATATATATATAAAGACAAAATTTAATTTTGGTGTAACCTATTTTTCTATCAATTTTACCCTTGTTTTAATGTATAATTTACCCAATAATTTCTATTAAAAAAAGTCATTACTATTAATTTTCACATAACTTTCTCTTATTAATTTTCTATTTAACTTCTACTATTAACTTTTTACATAACTTCCTTTTAAAATTATATTAAATAAAAGAATATTATTTATACTTTTACGTATGCATTAAAAAAACAGACAGATGGACACGCGAGTACCCGTCTGAACGCTTGTAGCTATATAGTGGCAATGAAGCTAATGTGCTAACGATTTCATGAAAAACTCAATTCCATTAAATTTCTATGTAACTTTGTTTCTGTAGTTGTTTTAATAAAGTTATTTATTTTCTGTTCTTCTATATATGGTTATTAATTTGATGGCATTTAAAATTGAGATTTTGCAATGCTATTACTGCATCATCGATCAAACATCATCGACCAAATTAATTAATATGTTATGAAACATATTTATTTCTTGTAATATGCATTTAAGTTTTGTGCAACGGTAATTCTTTTGAGTTTTAATAGCATATTCATTCTTTCACTAACATACTTGTACTTGAAAATAATGAGAATGAAATCCACTTAAATTCTATTGAAAAAAAAAGGTGAAAATTTTAATTAATAAAAAAAATTGCCAGCATGTTTTTTTTTCCCTTTTTTTACTCCAATTAATTCTCTGAAAAATTCTACAGACATATTTATTGTCAGACACGTTCAAAATGCAAGATATATAATTTTCAAATTGTAATTTCTTATCATTTAATATTCAAGAACATATGTTACAGTTGAGAAAATGTTTTGCCTTACCGTTACTCTAACATCAAAATCACATGTTTTGCAAAATTATAGGTGACTAATAAAAACAAAAACAAAATTAGAAGCTAATTTTGGAGTTGAAAAAAATATTATCGTGCTCATTGTATTATTAACATAGTGATATATTATCGAGTAAATATTATCGTGCCTCGGTTAGGCCAAAGTTAAATATTTTGTTGACTTATAAAGTTTGAACTTAGCCTCCAAAAAGTCGAGGTAAAATGTTCCTTTAGCCTCGACCAGGACCAAGGCTAAATATTATGTGAGCTAATGGAGTTTGACTTTAGCCTCGGTCAGGCCCAGGCTATTTTTTGTTTTTTGACACGGCTTCACCGAGGCTAATGTAGACACGGCTAAACCGAGGCTAAATTAGACACGGCTACACCGAGGCTACTATAGACACGGCTCTTCTTGGCCGAGGCTAAATGTTAGCTTCGATCGTTTTAACCTATCCCCGACACCGACGCTACGCCGAGGCTAATTGGCTAGTAGCGGCGGTTTTTTGCCTTATAGTGTCGGAAAATGGTCGAGGCTAAATACAACATTTCTAGTAGTGTTATTAAGATGTTGTATATAATCCTATATTCTATTTAAAGTTATATGGATTTGATCTCACTCAAATGAAGATAAACCTTTTATATAATCATCATACTCTTTCATGTGAAATTATCTAAACAATTATATATTATATTTACGTGCAAAATATGTGGTTGAGTTTATAAAACTCTAATTATGATATATTATACAACCACTCTTCTCTATAATTTTGCAGTAAAAGAAAATTAGTATCCCATTGTATAATCAGAGTATTTAATATTAGTAGACTCTGATAAATCTTTATTCTATTAGATCAGTGGGAGTGCATGTGCACTCAATTATGTAATCTAAGAACTTTAGATTATTATTCTCTTATTGTCATATATTCTTGCGTGCATTATAAAATATGACATATTCTAAGAAGACTTTAAAATTTATAATAACTCTAAGAAGCCTTATTCTATTATATATATATATATATATATATATATATATATATATATATATATATATATATATATATATATATATATATATATATATATATATATATATATATATATATATATATATATATATATATATATATATATATATATATATATATATATATATATATATATATATATATATATATATATATATATATATATATATATATATATATATATATATATATATATATATATATATTATTCTCTTAATCTCAAGAAACATCATAACTTATGTTTAGGTCTATATTGAAAAAACACAATAATTTTTTAGCATGCAACAATATTGTGTTATTCTATCTTCAATAGTCCACATTTGTCATGCCATAATATGAAAGTACAAATAAATATCCATACTCCTATCGAATATGATATTGTGTTATGAAGGTACTTATGATTAAATGTAATTACTCTTGCAATAGGGTATCCCTATATGTAATTACTATTCTTAGACCTATGTGGATATTCTATGACTTTTAATTTGAAAACTCATTAGTATAATCATTAACCAAAGCATTTTAATATGCTTGGGCCATTCTTTATAGCATATTACTCTTAGCTTAAATATGTTCTTATATATTCATCATTATTTATATAAAGTTGTAAGTTTTAACATGTATGATTTGTCTTCCCTATCAGATACAATTTCTACAGTGTTGAAATTTATTTATTTTTGATTGATTAGTGTTTTGACCATTGTTGATATTCTAATATTAAAATCAATATGTTTTAATAATTAATTATTGTCATCCAAGTGAGAGATTGTAAGATTAATTATTTAATTAATCAAATATGGATTGACATAATTAATTATTAATTAATTATATTATGGTCTATTGATATTAAACACTAAATAGATTTTGATTGGGTTTTGTGCCTGAATGGACCGTGATGAGTTTGATCATTCAGTTAAACCCAATGAGAGGTCTTTGTCCTCAGCCGTTTAGCTATTTAAGTATCTTTCCATTAGGCAAGTAACATACTCTGAAAATCCTAGACGACAATGAGGGTAGTAATCTTCTCATACTCATTGTTTCTGACAGTAATCTCACGAATCCTAAAAGATACATTGTTCTTATTATTATTAATTATTCATTGATTAAATAATATGTTATAATTTGTATTTATCGATCAAGGTAAATCTATCAAAGCTTATTATTTAGGATTATTCATGACTTGTCAATCAATTGACAACATGCTCCAATCGATTGGTTGCCTTCAAATTAATCGATTATAAACTTAAAAATGGTAAGAAAAATTATTTAGTCTTTACATATCATTAAGATA